TCAATAATTATCGATATCGAGCAATATGCATTATTTGTTGTCGATAAGCTTTTTTTCTATATCGCCCAGCCCTACCTTCTTGACAGATGCTTTTAACCAATCTTACTGTATTGACTCTGTAAGGTGCCTTGAGATGATGTCTTCTTAACTGGCACTACAGTAGACAAACTGAATTTAAATGAATTTGTTAGAGTTAGTTTATTTGAAAAGAAAGCAGAAGTTGTGAGTGCAAAGTTAAAAAAAAATTGCCTTTGAATTTTGCTAATAAACTACAGATTGGTGTAGTGTTTGGTTTGTTTCCTTTAGAAAGAGCATTGCTTTGACATTTTTTGTATTCAAAAGAACTATCGGTCAAGGTGTCATTTTTGTTTTATTTCAGGAGGAACTATTGACATCACTGTACACGAGGTCTTGGAAAGAGGAGCATTGAAAGAGCTGCACAAGGCATCTGGAAATGATTACGGAGGACAAAACGTGGATAGAAAATTTAAGGAGTTCCTGGGAGAAATATTCTGTGACGGAGTTTGGGATGAATATGAACTAAACTACCCCAGTGAGGTTCAGAAAATGATGAATGATTTCAACATTTTCAAAAAAAAGGATAAAGACTTTGAAATCACCTGTTCATTGAACCTGGGAAGAGTGGCTCAGAAAAAACAAGACATTGAACTTTTCCTTGAAAAAGTTCAAGGAGTATCCTGGAATGAAGGTTCCATCAGAGTCTGTAAACAGAAACTGAGGTCTTTCTTTGAAGAGAGTCTGTGGGGGATCACTAATAGTGTCAGGCAATTATTAAGTAAAGATTTTAAGATTGAGTACATCCTGTTAGTCGGGGGATTTGCTGAGAGTGAGATTCTACGTAGACATATAACTGATGAGTTTATTGATAACTGCAAAGTTCTGTGTCCATTTAGGCCACAAGAGGCAATCGTGAAAGGAGCTGTTCAGTTTGGAAGAAACCCATCAGTTGTAGCATCAAGAAAAAGTGCTTTCACTTATGGAGTTGCTATTAGTCAAAGGTTTAATGAATCAATACACAGGGCAGATAAAAAATTCACAAACAAAGAAGGCACATATTGTGACGATATCTTTATGAACCTAGTAAAAGCTGATGAGGATGTTGGATGGAATGAAACTAGGAAACACATCTTATATCCTATAGAATCGGATCAGACACAGATTAACTTTACATTTTATCAAACCAAGAGACAAAATGTAAAATATGTGGATGAAAGAGGGGTGGATAAAATTGGCTCATTTGCTGTGCCATCTCCTGATACCACACGTGGACTGAGTCGTGAGGTCAAACTGGAGATCAAGTTTGGTTACACAGAAATGACAGCCACAGGCACAGACCAAGAGACAGGCATAAAACAGACAATTGAGCTGGATTTCATGAGGATATAACAGAATCAAAACCTAGAGTTTATTCAACATCACTTTCTGATAGTGAAGTTCTGTAAACATCTGCAACCATCTGAAACCATCTTAGTACAACTGAGAAGGTCTAAAAAACACAGCAGTTGTATTATAACTTATCATGCTGCATTCTGGTGTGCAATTTAATAATCTACTGTACAACAGAGAGATATGGAAACACGCTAAATAAGTAGGTACAGAATAAAATTCAAAGGTAATCTATGAAATTAAAGGAAATTACTTCTGAAAATTTTGTTAAATTTCAACATTAAAACTATCATCTAATTTTTTTTATAAGCTCCCAGCAATTTGTGCAATGTTTTAATGTTGCTCAAAACATTTGTTGATTCAGTATGGTAAATGTGATTTACACCTTGGCTGAAATGCTTTGAAATTCTAACTTCTAACTAGTTTGTCAGGGAAATCTAACTTTAAATTAAATGTGTGTAATGAAATTCAACTTTTATTTGAAAGTGTTCACTTTGATTTAGGAATTCAACTGCCCAGCCTAGTTGTTTTATTTTAGTTATTTTATACAGTTTTGTTAAAGGGGTCATAGAATGATGTCCTTAAGGTCTCTGAATAGAGTGTGTAACACTGGTTGGGCTGAAACTGGCATATTTGCTGTTCAATGAGCCCTAAAGCCTGGTTAAAAGCCCTAGAATGAAACGACAGGTTTTTCTTCCTTTTATGGTATGCTCATGAATATTTAGATGAGCTGTGCTCTAATTGGTTTGTTTACAACAGGCGAAGAGTCTGAGCAAAAATGCATCATAGCAACAAGCACTCACTCACTGAAACATTGAAATTGTTGATATGGTAGGGTGACCTCCTTTTCTCCGGACACGTCCTACTTTTCATACCTAAAAAAATGTGGGGAGGGATTTCAATAATCTGGGATTTTGGTCAACTGCAGTGCAGCAGAACCGAGCTGTCAGCTCCGGGGCTGGTCTGGGAACCACAGTAGACGGGGGCAGGGAGCCAGCGGGCGACGGAGTGACTGAACCTGACCCCGTGACAGAAGCCTGGACACCGGCTGCCCCGTGCTTCCCCCCACTTGCCTTACTATCCCCCAGCCTCCCGTCCTCCGGCTGAGGACGGGCGGCTCATGGCTCTTTGCTGAGGTTTGGTCCAGTCAGCGGCCCAACAGTCGACACTTCCTACCCGCACCCCCCAATCCAAATAATGCAACATCCCAGAATTGACATCAACTCTGGGCTTCGTTTAGATTCGCCTGTTTTAAGGTGGAAGTTCAGAATTATGAGATTTGCAGAGAAGGGAGGTGTCGATGGGGATTGAACTTCTCTGTATGTCTCTTTTACCCACTGAACTATTGTCATTCATCTATGACAATAGAAACTCGGTTTTCTATGACCCCTTTAATTTTCTCTATGATTGTTTTTCTCTTTTATCTTATGTTGTATCAGTTACGTAGTTGCAAACATCAAGAGCTTTACTTGACTCATCTGTTATGTACTGGTGAATATGTGTTATGTTTTAAACTGATAATTTCTGCTTTTACTAAGATACATATTACTGACATATGTTTTGGGAATTTGACATTTTTAACTTTAACTTTTTTAACTGGAACATCCCAGAAAGTTGCAATTACAAGTCCGAAAATCAGTGGAACAGGATACCTGACTTCTGCATTCAAAATAAATTCTTCTCTGTTTAACATAAGTTCAATTGTTCTACTTTTATCCTTTTTAGCTGTTCTCTGTGCAGCATCAGTTGTTCAGGTTGTACTTGTGTTTAGAGGACAACATGCTTCAATTCTGTGTATCTGTACAGAAAACTGTGTTTTTGTCATTGTTACAGTATATTTGTAACAGTGGCCACAGTGGTGATGGAAAATATTAGTGTCTAAAAGCTGAATTTTTTTTACATTTTTATTATGTTATTGTCAATAGTTCTGTTTCATATTATCATGTGCTTAATGGAATACAAAGTAAAACTTTGAAGTTTTCTTGCCAAACCTTACTCTAAACCAGAGGTGTCAAACTACAGTCCTTGAAGGTACCATACCATACCAACTTCATTTATGAAGCACTTAATATACCGACATTATACACCGGCACTTTGTCCTTAGCACCTTTAGAAGCAAATGGTCAGCTGATCTGAGGGAACCAGAGGTTGTGTAAGAATGTAACAGCTCAGACAGATGGGGAGGGGCAAGGTCATTAAGAGCTTTAAAAACAAATAAAAGGATTTTAAAATGAATTCTAAAATGCACAGGCAACCAGTGTAAGGAAGCTAAAATAGGGGAAATGTGGTCAAATTTTCGTGTACATGTTAAAAGACATGAAGCAGCATTTTGTACCCTCTAAAGCTGGGAAATAAATAAAAAATGTCTCCTATATAAAGTGCATTACAGTTATCCAGCTGTATTGTCACAAATGCATGGATCACTGTTTCAAGATGCTCTCTGGAAAGTAAGGTTTTTCTTTGGCCAGCTGCCTTAAATGGAAAAAGATGGATTTTACTACGACTCTAATGTGTGCTTCCAGCTAAAATCCAGCATCCATCTTGACCCTTAAATTTGTAACAACCAGCTTCACATAATAGGCCTAAGAGCCAAGATTGGTCAGGGAATCTACAGTGGATCTGCCAAAAATCACTACCTCTGTCTTATCTTCATTAAGTTTCAAGAAATTTAGAAATGTTCCAGACATAAAAACAGAGACCGAAGAGAGCCGGATTCTATGTTCTTTAGTGGTAAATATTTCTGTGTGTCATCTGCATAACAATCCCAAATTTTCTAAAAATATTGCCAAGCGGAGGGAGGTACAACAAGAAAAGAAGCGGGCCTAGCCTCAGCCGTGTGGGACATCACAGGACAGTGGATCAGAGTGGGACCTATGGCCAACCACTGTTCTAAATGGGAAAATAAAATACTATAATCAACTGCATCAAAACTAGCTGATAAATTCAATAGCACCGAAACAACACAGTCACCAAAATCAGTTGCTAAAAGTATATCATTAAAAACTTTTAAAAGAGCTGACTCTGTGCTATGAAATGGTTTAAAACCAGACTGAAAAACCTCTGATATATTATGTTCATTAAGATAAACCATAAGCTGATTATCGACTGCCTTCACAAGAATAACAAAAAAAAAGAAAAAAGGGTCTATGCCATTAGCTGGGGTCTGGGACTGGTTGCTAGAATTCACCCTGCGTCCACAGGATCCAATACACGGAATGGGCAGGAAAAGCGGGGCACCAGCTTGCATATCCTGAATGAGGCAGAGAAACTTCGCTGTGGAGCAGCCTATAATAGTACTAGCTGACCACTCCGCTTTCAAGAGCGGTGGGCTCGCTTCCATCGGAAAGGTAGAGTCCAGAAACGACGCAGGTGAGCTGGAATGCCCAGTAGCAGGGTCGAGGTTTTGTCTATAGTATAAGTCCTCAATGACATAATTCCAGTCAAGGCTTGATTGGTCAGCAAAGTTTGGCAATCCTACACAATCAGAGAGGTTACCCTTTTAATAAAATTAAAAGCAAAAAGTAGACAAAGACAAAACAGGAGGAGCTTCAGACAGCAAACCTCAAATAAAGGTTCCACCTTGAAAACCAAGGACAGGTCAACATTTAGATGTGTTTCTCCTATATGCTCAAACACGCCTCCATAAATTTCCTTTATCAGGATGTCACCATTCTCTGCAGAGGTCTGCTACTGGTGTGTTGAAGAACGAACTGAGGTTTGCGCAACCCTTCCCTAGGGTGTTGGAAGAGAGTCTAAGTTACTGTAGAACATTGCATTCAGGAACTGTTTTATTCTCTGTGGACTTCACCTGTTAAGGTGTCGCCATGGCTAGTTTGCTACTAAACAGTCAAGCCAGAAAAGCCACAGGTTATCGCAGGAGAGAAAGGAACATATGTGTGTACCAGGCCAAACAAAGAAGCAATTTACAGATGTCAATGTTGAGGGTTTTTATCAGATAATAACACAGTTGCAGAATGAACATAAAGGAAAGGTGGGTTACTCACCCCGTTTTAAAATTATAGTTCAAAACTTGTCAGAATAGAAGAAAGGAAATGAAAATAAAATATATTGGGGTGCCTGTTTTCACCAATGTGAAGTGGGTTAAATACAGGTAAAACTACAAAGTTAGTCTACATATCCCAAGGAAATGATCTGGAGGTAAAGCTAACTAATTAGTGAACCAATAGCTCCAACTCTGTTTCGCATGTCTTCAGACAAAGATGCTGTATGCACAAGCAGAAGGCACAACATATCTGTACAGCACTTCTTGTTTGAAGGATTTTATCAAGGAATTTATAGCACTGATTTCCTTTATATTAGATGACCTGAAATTTTCAGGTGTTGAACTTCAGTTTGGTAAGAATGCTGGTTTGTGTGTTAAAAAAAATACTGTCGTTCATAGAGGGTGGGCATGGAGTCATCAAAGTTGAGATCTAACAAAGGCAATCTTTTCTAGACTCAACTTTTCGGGGCCAACTGTGCTGTGATTCTTTGTGCTTCAGGGAGGGGTCTGCTTTAGGACATTGCGCTCGGAATCCAGAGGTTCTGAGTTGAAGCCCCACTCCCATAGACTGCCACTCTGGATCTCTGAGCAGGACACCTAACCACACTGCTCCCTGTGTGCTGCACAATTGCAGCCCACTGCATCCCCAAGGGGATGGGTTAAATGCACAGGTAAATTTCTCCAGTGTGAGATCAGTAAAGTTTAATCATTAATCTGTTCGTGTGTATGTACACACACACACACACACACACATGGTGTCATCCTCAAGCTTGGGTCCTCTACCAGAGGCCTGGGAGTTTGAGGGTTCTGCGCATTATCTTAGCGGTTCCTAGGACTGCGCTCTTCTGGACAGAGACCTCCGATGTTTTACCTGGAATCTGCTGTAGCCACTCTCCCAGTTTGGGGGTCACAGCCCCCAGTGCTCCAATTACCACTGGCACCACTGCTGCTTTTACTTTCCACATCTTTTCTAGCTCCTCTTTCAGCCCTTTTTTTCCCAAAAAAAAAAAATAAAAAATATATATATATATATACGTACAGTATATAGTTGCTGATGACATAACATTTTCACCAGATGTTGGTAACAATCTATGCATTGCACCCATGCAAAGAA